CTGCTGGCATTTCCACTCATTCTGCCTCTAAAACCCCTTTTTTAAAGTCACTCTCACTCATATTCTTCTTCTTTCTTTATTCTCGTATCTATTTTTTTTAATATTGTATCTATTTCTTTATTGTATCTATTTTTTTATTTTTGTATCTATTTCTTTATTTTTGTATCTATTTTTTTTTTTGTATCTATTTCTTTCTTCTTGTATCTATTTTTTTATTCTTGTATCTATTTTCTTATTCTTGAATTTATTTCTTTATTCTTGTATCTGTTTTTTTATTCTTGTATCTATTTTTTTGTTCTTGTATCTATTTTTTTATTCTTGTATCTATTTCTTTATTGTTGTATCTATTTCTTTATTCTTGTATTTATATCTTGATTCTTGTATCTATTTCTGCCGGGTTCTTAGTTGTTTTGTGGGCTCGTGTTTCCTAATCTTTGGCCAACATCTGACCCCTGTGGTCCACATCTGTTTGGAAGAATAGAACAATGCAGCAAAGAGGAGGAAAAACGAGCCGAGTGTAAAGACTCTGGGCTTCAAAAGAAGTGGATTCAATGCAAAACGAGGAACAATACTTTAACCTAAATACTATATTTACATTAGAGCCATTTGTCCTGAATCGGAAAAGTAGGATGTCTTTAAATAGAAAGACAGAAATGGTCATTATAGGTGATTTTTATAGTTACTGATCCCATCTCATGGTCTAAAATGAGCTCCAGTTTGACTTTAAGACAGAAACTAGCAGGTAAAAACTCAGATAATGAGTTGAACTGTGTTGGGGGGGGGGGGGGGTGGAGAAAAAGCAAACACCTGCATGCGGCTGCACTGGTTCTTACGGTTATCAGATACCTGCAGAGTTCATTACTCTGATTACTATCAGGCAAGCGGGGACTCGACCAGTCATCCCAGTCAAACCAAAGAGGAGCTGATTAAATCCTAAATAAATAAGTAAGTCTTATTTAAAACGTCTAATGAATCAAACAAAAATAGGGGAAATAACTAAGAAAATTAAATAGAAAAGAATCAATCAAATTAAAATATAAATAAAATATGAAAAATAAATGATCAATTTAAAGCTAAAATAAAATCAATTAAAATGAATTAAATTAAATAAAATATTTTAAATTCAATTCAAATCTAAATTAAAAAAAATAAAAATAGAATAAATGTTTTGGATGAAGTCTTTCTTTTCCTTTTTTATCATAAGTGGTAATTAAAAATATGAAAAATAAATGATTAATTTAATAAAAAATAAAATCAATTAAAATATATTCCATTCGATTATAATAAAGTAAATATATCAAATGAATTCAAATATATTAAATTCAATAAAAAGAAATAAAAAATTGTAAAAAATAGAATAACTTTTTTGGATGAAGCCTTTCTTTTTCTTTTTTGTCATAAGTGGTAACAAAAAATCTGGGAAACAAAAGATACATTTAATAGAAAATGAAATCAATTAAAATATATTTGATTAAATTAAAATAAAGTGTATCTATTAAATGAATTCAAATATATTAAATTCAATTAAAATTACATTAAAAAAAATAGAATAACTTTTTTGGATGAAGTCTTTGTTTTCCTTTTTTTAAAATAAGTGGTAACTCGCCTTCCTGACTGATGACAGTCGTTCTTGTGAATGCAATCAGAGGACAGATCCCCCCCCCTCCCCCCTTTCAGCACCCACTACAGGGAAACAGCCTCTTATCCCTCTGCTCTGACAAAGCTGAGCATCTCCAGACCAGTCCAGCCTGGGGGGGGGGTGGATGTGGGAAAAGATCCATCTCTGGAACACCTTTCCTCTAACCAGAGGAGCCCTTTAAATCTCACACACTTAACCCCATCCTGCACTTTCTCCTGATCTGCTTAAGCCCATGTGGAGCTTCCAGAGGGACCCGTAATCCAATAGGAGGATGGACCAATAGCAGCATTCCTGGAGGGAGAGCCTCAGTGGTGAACATTTTACGGACATTTTGCCATCGATATGCAACAGCAGACAGCCCGGTGCGAGGTCACAGAGGTCTCAGAGCAGCCGTCATAAGCCCATTCTCCATTTCTTTTTTTTTTCTTTTTTCCCCTGGTCGTGTTTGGCATTATGGAAACAGAGCTGTAATCTGATTTTTGTGTTCTCACCGACACTTTTGCTTTACCACGGGAGGCCTGTCAGGGTGGGGAGCCTACTGCTTTATTTATTTATTTATTTATTTATTTATTTATTTATTTATTTATTTATTTATTTACTTACTTACTTACTTACTTACTTACTTACTTACTTACTTACTTATTCATTCATTCATTCATTCAGTTATTTATTTATTTGTTTGTTTATCTATTTATTTATTTATTTGTTTATCTATTTATTTATTTGTTTGTTTGTTTATCTATTTATTTATTTATTTATTTATTTATTTATTTATTTATTCATTTATTCATTCATTCATTCATTCATTTATTAATTAATTTATTTAAGATATTTTTTTGTTTCAGAAGTAAGACGGTTAATGCCAAACCTGACCGGGGTGGGACAGGAAAAAAGAAAAAAAAAAGGGAAAAAAAGGAACAAATTATGAAATTTAAAAAAGGATGAGAGAATGCAGAAAAAGTAACAATAACCCACGCCGAAAAGAAGAGACAGAAGAGAGGAAAAGAAACAAAAAGGAAGACAACAACAAGAAAACCATCTATTCAGCTGCTGTATCTGTAGAGATGTCCTGTAGTCACCGGGGGCCATTCTCTATTTCTGAGTTATTCTCTATTTCTCTATTTCTGGGTTTATTATTAACAAACGGCAGCCGCCCGGTGGGGTCGTGACCTTTGACCTTCCAGGGTCGATGGAAAGCAGCCTGACTCAGAGCCCCCCCCCCCCCCCTCCCTCTCTCTCTCTCTCTCTCTCTCTCTCTGGGTTCACAGCAGAAGCTGCTCTCTGGGAAACAGGAAGCCGATACCCTGTGAGCTCAGAGCGAGATCGTCCCGGTTACAGACGCTTCCCCCCCTCTGCCCGCAGCCAACCGGGTTCACCCTCAGCCCCACGGAGACCAAAGCAAACAAACAAACAAACAAAGCAAACAAACAAACACCCGGAGACTTGTCCAGCTAACGTTAGCTAACTTCTAAAGATCAAAACCCCGAATAAATGCGGGTTAAAAGTGATAAAAATAAGAAATTCCCATGGTACAATCAGACCAAACTGCTCAGCATCTAATAAAAACTGGAATATTCTGGTAATTGCACAACAATACAGAACGAGTGCTTTTATCGGTAGTTTTTGCTCTTTTTAAAGAAAAATAAACGAATTAAGGTTAAAAAAAGGGCGCCTTTAACAGGGAATTGGACCAAACCCCCCCCGGCTCCAAAGCTAACAAACAAGCTAACTTCTAAAGACCAAAACCCTGAATAAATGCGGATTAAAAGTGATGAAAATAAGAAATTCCCATGGAAAATGTTTCACATTTTGGTGGCAGAATTCCCTGAATACCGTTCAACTTTCAAACCAGCTCAGCCTCTAATAAAAACTGAAATATTCTGGTAATTGCACACATGGAAAACGCAGTTCAGCTCCTCTGAACCTGCTGGACTCTGTCTCTGAGTTTCTGCCAGTGGAAATCCTGACCAGAGCCGGACACTTTTTGCATCATTAGAGGGTTTCCTTCTAGCAAAAACACCTTTCTTTCTTCATAATTTAATACGTCTACTAGCTGTTATTGGTAGTTGTTGCTCTTTTTAAAGAAAAATGAACGAATTAAGGTTAAAAAAAGGGCGCCTTTAACAGGGAATTGGACCAAACCTCCCCGACTCCAAAGCAAACAAACAACCATAAACCAGCTAACTTCTAAATACCAAAACCCTGAATGAGTGGGGATTAAAAGTGATGAAAATAAGAAATTCACATTTTGGTGGCAGAATTCCCAGAATACAGTTCAACTACAACTAGGTTCAGACCAAACTGCTTTTTCAAACTGCTCTTTTAGCATCATAAGAGGGTTTCGTTCTAGGAAAAACACCTTTCTTGCTGGCTAATTTAATACACATTCACTAGTTTATAGCTTTGACTGTACACACACAAAACAGAACGAGTGCTTTTATTGGTAGTTGTTGCTCTTTTTAAAGAAAAATTAACAAATCAAGCTTAAAAAAAGGTTATCTTTGACAGGGAATTGAACCAAACCCCCCCGGCTCCATGGCAAACAACGTCCAGAAACCTTTCCAGCTAAATTCTAAGGATCAAAACCCTGAATGATTGGGGATTAAAAGTGATATGAATAAGAAATTCCCATGGAAAATGTTTCACATTTTGGCATTCAGACCAAACTGCTCTTTTAAACCAGCTCAGCCAACTAATAAAAACTGAAATATTCTGTTTTCTACTAGTTTATCGCTTCGACTGTACACACACAAAACAGAACGAGTGCTTTTATTGGTAGTTTTTGCTCTTTTTAAAGAAAAATGACCTAATTAAGCTTAAAAAAGGGTCTCTTTGACAGGGAACTGAGGACTCTCCTCCGTAAATCCATGCGTGGGATGTCCGATTACCAACGGTTCGTGCCGGTCTGGGCCTTGTTGTCATGGCAACATGTGACGGGGCCCGTGCGCCGGTGGGAACTGTGCCGGAGGAGGATTTAAAACTCAGATCAGATCTGCCGCCGTGCGCCACAACACAGGCGTGAGTCAGCGGCCGTGGGCGGGGCTTCAACTCTCAACCTCTCGATCAAACCACCGACTCTCAGATCTTACTCTGCCAGCCTCTGTCCAACCACACACAGACTTTCCAGCTCAGTCATCACAAGAAAAACAACAAAAAAAAAACAAATAGGTGGCACAATTGCTGAACTCTAGGGTTGTCACGATACTAACATGTTTGACTCTATATCGATACTCAGGAAAATATTCAATACTCGATACCATTTTCAATACCACAAGGATAAAAACAAAGACCCCAAAATTTAATTTCAAACTTTCATTTCAAACTGACCTGTGACTGATGTTATGGTGGCCCACATTAATGACCCTAACCCTAACCCTAACTCTAACCCTAACTCTGACTCTAACCCTAAACCTAACTCTAACCCTTACTCTAACTCTAACCCTAAACCTAACTAGGCCTAAACCTAACTCTAACCCTAACCCTGACTCTAATCCTAAACCTAACTCTAACCCTAACCCTAACCCTAACCCTAACCCTAACTCTAACCCTAACCCTAACCCTGACCCTGACCCTAACCCTAACCCTAACCCTAAACCTAACCCTAACCCTGACCCTAACCCTCCACCTTTCATAATTGTGAGAAAT